GGCCACGGTCACGACCACGGGTGCGGCGGGAGCCGCCTCGGGGGCGCGGGGATCCCCGATCTGCTTTCCCTTCCGGTGACCCATGAAGCCCGGCGCCCTGTGACGAGCCCCGCGGGCTGGCCCAGGGCCCGGCGTCTGCCCGCCGCCGCCAGAGCCGCCGCCGCCCCCGGGCTTGTGGCCGCCGGAGACGCGCCGGAGCAAGTTAAGTTCACCACGCGCCCTTTTTTAAACTTGGGAGGATCCCGAGTGGAGGCATGTGAACCCCCCCGGGGGGCCGGAGAGCGGAGCCAGCGGAGGGAGCGGGCGTAGACGGGCGGCCGCTCGGCCTCCTCCGCAGTGGGGCGCGCGGGACCGCGACCCCCAGGAATGAGGGGCGACTGTTCGCTGCTCCCCGGGCTGCCAAGAGACCACGGAAGAACCTAGAGTCGCAATTCTTCGGGGGGGGGGGGGGGGGGGCGGGGGGGCGCAGGCTGCGAATGTAATTGGAAGAGGGGCCGAAGGCGAGACTTGTTGAATAAGCACAATAATCCCCGAAGTCCGCGAAGGCTCCCAGCGTCTCTATTTTTGCCGATATTTTGGAGACTGTTTTATGTGTTGTACATTTGACGTAAGATGACGGCTTTTTAAAACACTTTCTAGAAGAAGTAAACAATGACCACCCCGGCTCTGTTGCCCTTAACTGGACGTAGAATACCACCCTTGAACCTGGGGCCGCCCTCCTTTTCCCATCACAGGGCTACATTAAGACTGTCGGAGAAGTTTATTCTTCTCCTTATTCTTAGTGCCTTCATCACCCTATGTTTTGGGGCATTTTTCTTCCTTCCGGACTCTTCAAAACACAAACGCTTTGACCTGGGCTTAGAGGATGTGTTGATTCCGCATGTAGATACCAGCAAAGGAGAAAAAGACATTGGAGGCTTCTTGATCCATGGACAAGGGCATGACGAACACAGACACAGGTATACTAAAGGTATTTTTTTTGTTTCAGGTGGGAAAACGACGGGACTCTACTCGAGTACGTTAGTACATAGCGTGATAAAGAGAGGTTTTTGTTATATTACGTGGTTTTTTTTCCCCCGGGGCATAATATAGTGATCGATACAATTGATAAATTCTAGATTTTCTGAAATAAGAATCAAAATTTAAAACACTTAAGAATTCTCGGAGAAATCATTTCATTCAACCATTTGATTTTACAAATAAGGAAACTGAAGCTCTTGAAAAGTTAAAGTGTCAAATGTGAAAAAAATATATGTGTGTGTCTCTGGCTGTCTGTCTGTATATCTATCTCTCTATCTATCGGAATATACTGTTTCTTAAAGAATGCTTTGCGTATGGTTAAGGCTGGAAGTACTAATTAGGTACTTTAGTCAGAAGTATTTGCCGGTGCCTCTTTCTTTGATTGGATTTGGTGGTGGTCAGACAGTTTTAAGATTTAATTCTGTACCTCAGCTTTTAATCTTTCACTGAGAAACAGGCAAAAAAAGATGTCTCTTTCATAATTTATGTATTAAAATTAGGCTCTGATTTATTTTCACATCCAGGGAAATGTATTGCATATTCTAAGCCAGTTAAAAAAAATCAGTACTTTAAATTCACTTTGTGAATCGTGTTTAACAAACGTACAGATTTATATTTTGCTTGCTTCTCTCCCTCCCCTCTATTTTTAGCTTAATTAACTTACCTCTTTAAAAGATAAGAGGTGGACTCTGTTGAGATGAATTATTTTTTAATCCACTGTTCTCTAACTTACTTAAGTTGTGCCAGTCAAAATTTAGATAACTAAATCTAATGAGACTAAGCCGAATAAATTTGTTAGGATAAAATGGGAACCCAAATTATTAGCCTTTTAGATAATGTTTACATTACCAATCAAATATATGTTTGTAGAGTAGTTTATTCTTTCCAGTAACAGTTTCCAAACGGACTATCATCTTTTCATGGTCACAATCCTTCCAAGGGTTCCCATTGAACCTCTGAAAAAGTGGAAAAGTCAAAGGCTTAAATCTTATTTTTAAAATACTGTAGTTATTGTCAAAGCCTATAGACTTATTTTCAGTTAACTGATTTCATTTGCTTAAAAATGATAAAGCTGAATATATAATCAAGCCTTAACTTTTGAGAGAAGCTTTATCCATATGTTTCTAGACTCAAAGATTAAATGGATTTTAGAAATCACCTACTCAGTACCTGAGCAGGAATCCCCTCTTCCTTATCCAACATCTACTTCTCTGATCCTCCACTGATGGGACACTTTTCAATAGCTCTGATTGTTAGGAAATTTTTCCATATGTCAGCCAAAAGTAGTCTTTCTGAGACTTAGACTCATCATTGCCAGTTTGGGCTTTTGGGGCCATGACTGCTCGTCAAAAAGTTGAGGATAGCTCTCTTTCTCCTTCATTATTCTGGGCAAACTTCTCCAATTAATTCCTTTTCTAATGCCCTTATGGCATGATTTTTACTCCTCTAATCAGCAAGTGACCCTCCTGGATCAGCCTCAGCTTGTCAATAACCTTCCTTAAATGTGTCTCCAGCTGAACAGGGTATTTAGATTTTATCTAACCAGAACTAGAATACAAAGCTGACTCTTCACCCTTCTCTTTCTAGATACTGTACTTGTATGAATGCAGCCTAAGATTCCCATTAGCTTTTTTTGGTTGTCAGATCTGTTGACATGAATGAGTTCTTGACTGATGTTGAACTTAAAGTTCACTAAGTTCACTTGAGTCTTTGAGACCTTGGTGATTTTTGGAGACAGTTGATGGCCCAGTGGACAGAGTGCTGAGTCTGGAGTCAGAAGACCTGAGTTCCAGTATGGCCTCAGACTTTTACTAGTTGTTTGACCCTGGGCAAGTCATTCATTGTAAGCTCTGTCTGCCTTAACTTCTTTAACTGTAAAATGAGGGATAATAATAGCACCTACTTCCCAGGGCTGTTGTGAGAATCAAATGAAATAATATTTGCAAAATCACTTAGCACAGTGCCTGGTACATAGTCCACGCTATATATAGATGCTTATTCCCTTTCCTTTTCCTTCTAGTCATGCCTCCTCTATTTTGGACTAAGTATTTGATTTTTAAAAGGAATTTACATTTATCCTTATTAAATTTTAGAGATGAATCCAGTTTAATACTTGAAAAAAATAAAGTATTAATAATAAGATTTTGTTTCTTAATACCATTTTTTAATCCACTCACCACTTGTTCAATTCTAAGCTCAATTTAAGTGAATGATTTCTATAACTTTAATATCTCTTCTATAAATTAGTTTGGAGGTTGTCAATCTTTCCATTTGCTCCTTTTAATTTGCCAGTTGGGCTTAGTAGACACATTTTTAAAAGGGATGATATAATAATTAACAGACATTTATATAAGACTTTACATAGGTTATTTCATTTGAGCCTTAGAGATTTCTTGGGAGTTAAGTACTGTAGGTACAATACCTATTTTATAGCTTAGGAAACTGAGGCTTTGGGAAGTCAGGTGATTTGCTCATGTCCTTAGTGAATTCCTGAGGGATGATTAGATCTAGATATCTCTTGACTCCAAGTCCATGATTCTTTGCACTATGGAAAGATGCCGATATTATCACTATATTCACTACAAAATTATTGGTAGTACTTAGAATATTTTCTCCTCAGTGCTGTTTGTATATAAATTGTTATAACAATTTTAAAAACATGTTTACTCTTTAAAGTTTATACTTTGGTCCGACCACTACCAGTAAAACTTTGGTCAAGTCACTTTTCCTTTCAGATTTCTTATCTTTAAAATGGATGATTGGACCACAAAATCTGCGGGGCTTTTTGAAGTCCAGATTCTTATTGAGTGATTCTTGTCTGAAGTGACAGCCTGTGACACTGGCATCACAGGCACCTGCCATCTACCCGACACTTTGTATCATGGTTTCTGTGATAACTTAAAATAAGTGGTTATTATACAGCCTAGATCAAAATATTTAGACAGTGTGTTAGGTTGATTTAAAATAGAAATGTGTACATTTTATTCTCATTTTTATAAGCAAGAATAAGCTAGAAGTAGAAGGTTGATTTAAAATAGAAATGTGTACATTTTATTCTCATTTTTATAAGCAACAATATGTTCACAAAAATTCCTGTTATTTGTGTAGTACTTTTAACTTTTTCCACGGTTCTTTTATTGGTTTATTTTGTCATTTTGTTATGTTATTTAATTTGTTCTTGGTGATCTTGCTCCCTTTTTTCTGTTTGAACTTCTTACAGGGCGTATTCTTTTGGTGCTCAACCATTTATATATTCTCAGCTGGTGGTAGCACAGAGCAAAATGAAGAAGGCATTTATGAAATTGTCAGTGTTTCCATGACTTGATCCAATATGGATAATAACTCAAAGTGTCTTAAAGTTTACAAAATACCTTTCTCATAAGGAGAGGTATAAACTCTATATAGATGAGAAAGTTTCGGCCCTGAGAGGTTGTCACTTACTAATTACTGCAGAATCCAACCCTAAAGAGCTGGAAGAGACCTTAGAAGTTATCTAGTCCAATCCATTTATTTTACAGATGAGGAAACTGAAGATCAGAGAGAGAACTTGCTTGAGGGACTCAGGTAGTAAGTAGGATTGCTGGTATGTGAACCTTGGTTCCTTGTCTCCAAGTCTAGCACTGTTTAACTGTTCCATGGATTATACAGCTGATGAGTGCCTGAAATTGAATTTTCACCCAGGTCTCCAGAATGAAAGGCCTTTAATTTAAAAGTATGAAGTGTAGTTTAAAACTATGGTTAAGCATATTATGTTTAAACAAAAGATGGTGACATCCTTTGAACCCTCATGGATGATTGTTGATAATGATACGAATTCCAACTTTTTGATGAGTTTCAAATAAGTCCTGTTAATGCTGGCATACGTAGCTTCCAGTGATCTCTTTGATATGAGGAAGGTGCTTTGTAAACCTTAAAGTACTTTGTAAAATGTGAGTTACATGTCTGCTCTTTGCTGCATATTTTTCTTATTTCATTTTTCATTGTAAGAGTTTACTCTGTTTTAATGGAATATTATGCAAATGAATGAAATCTAAATGCAGAAGTAATTAATTGAAGGTATTATATTTAGGCCTTTAGCCAGTTAGCTTTTTTTAGAAAGAGACTTGAGAAAGATATTGGACTTAATGTTAATCTTTTCAGAGGAAATACAGTCAACGTTTTAGATTATGTATCTGAAATTTATTAACTTTGAAACTTGAGTTCTTGTTTCTTCTTCTCCTTCACTGCCTGCCTCCCACTCAGCTTTTACCTTCTTTGTCCACCCATTCTGTTTTCTAATCTCATTGTGAGTTATCTCCTAACCTACTCTTGGCTTTCTGTCCTTCACATGTATTTTATATCTGAAGGCATGTTTTTGTATGTTATAACTAATCATAATCTGAAAAAATCTGTGGTGATAAAACTTAGTGAATAATGTAATAAAGTTTTATCGACAATAGGTAATTTTCAAATAGAGGTGTAAAATGTGTAAATTCAGTATGTCAAATATACATTAGTCATATAAATATAGAAAGATTCGCTTTTTATGGAAAAGGTTAAGTAAGATCATACCAGAAAAAACTGATTGATGATTTCTTTTTTTCCCCTTGACATTGCTTCCTAGTAAGTTTATTGCAAAAGATCTGTATGAATGATGATGGGAAGTAAATCATTGTCTTCCTATGCGTTACCTCCCTACCCCCTTTTATTTTACAGAGCAAAGAACTTTGCAAATATTCAATAAATGCTTCTTGTCTGATGAATGTCGTTGATGGATTGGGATACACAAAAACTTACTTAGAAAAATACAACGTATCTTGCTTTTTATAATAGTGTTCCTGAAAAATTTAGTGGATATTAAATAATTTTAAATGCATACTGGAACCTGCTATTTAAAATCAAACACTTCTATAAATAGTATAAGCATCTATTATTTTAAAAAAAATCAGATTTTAGTACA